GTATGACTTTAATATCGTATTCAATTTGACTTTGTCTACTTCTCTTTGGTATCAGTAGCAGTGTTTTGTTCATAGAAACAGATTTGTAAATTATTACTTGGACTGCAACAGCCACAGAGACAAAGTGTTCTCTTTTTCTAAACAGAGCTCCTGATATTACAGATGTATAGCATGAAAAGAACATACCTATGCCAATGCATGTCATGTAAAAATGACTAGCAACACCTTGCACAAATGGTTTTCAAATAATTTTATAAATTAAGAAGAACAGACATCAGTAGCCATGATTTTTCTTATGCTAAATTTTTTATATAAGCATACTTACTTGAAAATAATTAATCACTAAATTCCATGAACATAATTAAGGAAATGAGAAGTTTAAAGCAGCCTTAGAAATTCCAAAACAAAGGCAAAAGATAAAAACGTGCTATAAATCCCCAGTGCCTTAAAAGCCCATAGAAAGTATTGCATCAAAAAAAAAAAAAAGCTGAGAAACAAATAAAGGTCATATCTGAAATCCAAGAAAATGAAAAAAGAAAAACAAAAAGGAAGTGATAACTATTGAGTCATGCCCACACACCTCTTGATTAAGAAGTAAATCATGAGCTTGACTGACAGAATTCAAATTTTAAATTTTAATTTGTGAGTGTGTGTGTGTATATACATGCTTATACTGTGGGCAAAATCACCGAAGTGTCTACATTAGGTATTACTAACCAGAATGCAGGTACTTGGCCACAGCAGGCTATCCCAGGCTACATTAGATGCTGTGCTGGCTGTATACAAAGTGGAGAGATCAAGATGCTACCGAGGGTGATCCAGAAAGCTGCATGGTGTGTGAGCAGTCCGGAACAAGCCAGTAAGAAACCCCACATGTACGCAAGTACTTGGCCTCTTTCTTCTCATCTTACCCTTTCCTCCCCTCAAGCACCAAGGTTACTCTGGGTAGGCTGGGAGCTAACAGTGGGGTCATGCTGAACAGGGGACAGCTGGCTCCATCCCTTCCCCAGCCAGGGAGGTTCAGCCTCGTGGTCTCCAGGCAGGATTAGGTGTCCCACCCCGCACCAGTGGCAACGCTGCAGAGCAGAAGCTTCTGTGTCCCCCCTCCAGCATACCCAGCTAAGAAGGAAAAAGTCTTGGAGAGGAATATAAGCAAGAGGGAATAAATGCTCTAGCTTAGTCCTTGGGCAATGGGCCAGAAGATATCCAGATTACAGGTGTTTTAATCAAATTTCTATCATAAACGTAGTTTTGTGAATATACTTACATTTCCCTGGTCTCAATCAAATCCCTTAGCCGCTAGCTTGTTACATAAAGAGGGGAGGGTGGGAGTGGGAGGATGACAATATTTTCCAGGGAAAGTGGCTGTATGTGTTACTCCTGCCTAACAGATGGGGCTCCTGCGAGCGATAAGGCAGAAGAAAGGAGAGGAGCATGTCTGCTGCTCCACCTGGCACTCACATTTGGGCTCCGCTGA